CTCCAGGACGTACCTCGTCCCCCATCGTTCGTTGTGGTGGACGTCCACGGCCACCAGCGCCGCCTCCGCTCCGGGGGAGCAGGGCTCGGCAACGTCCCCGGGGTCCAAATCAGAGTCCGCTTGGGGGAAGCCTGAATCCTGCGTGGAGTCCGGGCTCTCCTTGGGCAGGCTGGTGTTGATGTAGATGACGTCCCCGGATCCCCTGACGGCGGGCAGGTTTTCCAGCAGCTTCTCCAGATGGACCTTCAGCTGCGAGAACGTCGGGCGGGCGGCAGGGTCAGCTCTCCAGCACGCAAACATTATTTCATACCTGGAAATCGGGAAAGGAGCGTGGTTATCGTGGAGGACGTTGCCAGGCGTTGGGCTACAGGATGTACGGGGGGCCAATTCCCTGCTTCTTTCCAAACTGGGCAAGCCCTGAGCTGCTTTGCATTAAAACAAAGCAAAAACAACTCCCTCTGCTTAGGCTGTTTGCCCAACGGCAGGGATTTATCAGCCCAAGCTGCTGTTAGAAGTCTCTTCCAGTGCCTGGCACTCACTGAGGGTCGGGCAGAGGCAGCCGGCTGCAGCCCTGTGATCAGCCTCCCCGGGAACATCCCAGTTCTGCTCCCGGGGCACCGAGCCCTTCTCTCGTCCTTCCCGCAGGTGCCTGTTCCCCGGGCTGGATGTCAGGGCACGTCGGAAACTCCCAGCGCCTCCCTGCCAGGGGGTCACCGCCGGGCACACCCCGCCTCCTCCGCCCTCTAGCAGGCTGGATCCAATAAAAGGTTTCTTTGCCGCTTCCTTCGGGGACAGGCCTTGGAGAGGGGCCTTGTAGGAACCGTTGTGCCGCTCCAAGCAGCTTTGCTACTTTAACCGTTTTCGTATTTGCAGCTTTTAGCCGTGGGGGGGGGTTAAACATTTTCAGCTGTAATGGCACCGGAGAAAAACTCAGGGAGAAAAACCCTCGCTGAGCTGCTCAGAAATGCAAAGTTTTGAGGTTCCCGCATTTTCCCTTTCCAGATTCGTAGATTTTAGGCACTGAAGGTCCCTGAGTAGCTAGAGGGAGTTTTGTGGGGCAGAGAAGAGCATCGCCAGCCAAGACCTTCCGGCCAAAACTATCTTAATTAAAAAAAAACCCCAAAACTAAAAAGTCGGATTCCTCCACCACCAACTGCAGAGGGCACTGCTCCTGCCCTCACAGGACCAGCGAGGTGAACCCCGCACCTCCCACCCGCCCCACGCCGCCGGCTGCCAACAGCCCAGCTCGTCAGCCCTCCGTGCCAGCCCTGCAAGCACATCGCTCTCTCCTGGGATATTCATTGGGATTTCTGTGCGCCAGTTTGCCTGGAGTTAAGAAGATGCTTTTTCCTCCCTGGGTGATAGGCTGCCCTGGGATTTGGCTTTTATCAGGCACGTCGAACCTCGGGAGATTATGCAAATATTAAGGGTTTTGAAGTGTTTGTTTCTGTGATGCTTCAATTTAAAACTTGACCCACACCATTTCCTCTGAGAGCTAACCGGCGTGTGCGTTCTTGTAAGCTCCCTGCCCGTCAACCCCGCAGGGAAGAAAAGGTTAACTCCTTGCCATTTTCTTAAAAATCCAATCTTAAATAACTGTTGTTTCTGGGGGCTGTGGGGGAAATGGAGGGGGTGAGGCGGAAGGCGACTCCCTCCCCGGGACAGACCCATCTTACTCTGCTTGGAGAGGCAGGTTTGCGGCAGGTGGGAGCACGGGCATACTGGCACGGTCTTTGATTGCGCCGCGAAGCCACGCGGCTTTCAGCCACGTTCAGCGCTAAGCCACAAATCCACAGCACGAGTAGTTGCTGTGTCCTTAAAGAAAGGACATCAGCAACCGCGAGCCACAAAGCACGAAGAGTGGCACCCCACAGAAACCACCTCAGCTAAGGGCAAGCGATGCACAGGCTATCTGCAGGCAGGCAGAGAGCAAAGGGGCGGCGCTACAGCCCGAAACCAGGATTACAATACTCACAGCTCATCCAAGCAGTCCTCGGGCTTTTTCAGGCGCTGCCCGTGGAAGAGGTACTCATAGATCTCGTGGTTCTGCACTCCTGGGTAGGGCGTCATCCCGCGGGTCGCTATCTCCCACATGGTAACGCCAAATGCCCACTGCGAGGACAAAGGGAAAGCGCGCTGAAAGGACATTTCCAGGAGGAATGAATGAGTCTTTTCACGGGGAAAGGTCACTGCCCAGCGTCCACTGGGCCCTCGCACAATGCTAAGAGTTGTCGCTCCAGTCCTGCCCTCCCCGAAATTGGAAATAATAAGCAATGCCACAGATGAAGCGAGCGGCCCACTCAGTAAACCTATTCCAGGAGGCTGGGCAGGCAGCGAAAGGTCAGCGCGTCCCATTACCGACAGCCCCCCGCTCCTCTGGCTTTGCACTTGCAGGGCAAGAACAGCGCCGTAACAAAGCGCGGCAAGGGCGGACGACTCAACCCGGGGATCGGTCCCCAGCTCTCGCCTCCTGCCGCCCGGCTGCCCAGCCACGTGGACCTACCACATCGCTCTTGGTGGTGTAGACGCGGTCAGCCAGGGACTCGATGGCAATCCACTTCACCGGCATTTTTGCTATTCGGCCCTGACGGTAGTAATCGCCGCTGTAAATCTTCTTCGACAAACCGAAGTCTGCCACGCACACCGTCATGTCGTCCCGTAACCTGTCAGGCGGAAACAGGGATGACGAGATAGAAAAGTCTGACATGCCAAATTCTGAAGCAGAAACCTGAGGCTGAGCTCTTTTCCCATGCCTCTCAAGACCGAGGGAGGTTTTATTGAGGGAAGCCACGTTGTGCTGTAAAACCACAGGGCTTCCACCGGTGTTCATCTATCCAGGACAAAGCAGAGGAAAACAAACTCACATGCAGTTTCGAGCCGCCAAATCCCTGTGGAGAAAGTGCCGACTGCTCAGATACTCCATCCCCAGGGCGATATCCACCATGAACTTCACCAGCGTCTGCAGGGGCACAAACTGGGAAGGGAAGGTGCGGGTTAGCGCAAGCCCTTCGGGAAGCACGTTTGGTTTGATCTGAAAGGCTTCCCTGTCCAGGGCTGCCGGCTGACATCCTGGTGGTCTCACCGGCCTTCGAGAGCACCAGGAGCCCGCAGCAGCAGCAGCCACTGTGGCCTCTCTCACCCCCGTTGGGCTAACGCCCTCAGACTGTAAGATTTATTGAATCACAAGCCTGCAGGAGCTGCAGATGAGGGGACAGTTGTTTTAGAAATAAGCCCAAGCACCGTCTGCCAGGCTGTGCCGCTGGCCAGAAGAGCCCGTCCCGGCAAACCACATCTCGCTGTGGTTTGCTGTAGCAGTGGATACCCTTCCCATCCCCGCCTCCTCCTTCCACGTCTCTGGAGTGCAGCCTGCAACTAGACGTTGCTTCCTTCTTGCCTCTCCCTCTGGCTGCCTTCAGGTCACATATTTTTGGCTAGAAAGCAGCTCTGCAGAAAAGGACCC